CTATAAGAAATGCCACCGTCAAAGCTGTAGAAAAACACACACCTACACAGGTGATCACATGCAGCGCTCACAAAAATGTACATGCATGTAAATAGCTAAAAAAATAAAGCGACAGCAGTTTGGGATCACAACTAAATAATGCTCAACCATTTCATTATATTTTCAGGCAACTCAAAAAACAATTAGCAATGAAAAATGAATGGATGTGACATTATGTGCAAAGAAGTGCTGAAAAACCCTGCTTGACTTAGTATAAATACCATAGCAGCGTCAAAAGGTTGCAGAACCATAGCCAGGCAAAGACAATGAGCTGTATTTACTATGACGACAACAAGTGACAGAAATAAGGACGAAGAGAATATTGAAGTCAAGAGTGGATGAAAGCACACCATAAGTGCAAAGTATTCAACTGAGCTTTTTTTTTATTCAAAAGTTATGCCATATGACTTTATTACATGTAATTTGTTAGACGCTTTTATCCAAAGCGACTTACATACATTCGGTACTGTGGACAATCCCCACAGGAGCAATTTGGGGTGAAGTGTCTTGCCCAGGGACACAACGACATGCTGACTGCAGTGGGACTCAAACTTGCTATCCCCTGACTCGAAGTCTAGCACACTATCCACTGAGCCACAGCCTCCCTCCCATTTTAGTAGCATTGAAGAGTTAGTGTTTAGGTGGAGATTGTAGACGTGGGTGGTGTATGTTGTGTAATGATGATACGATGCTGGCAAGTGGTGTATGAATATAATAAAACAATAATAATTGTCAGAATATAACTAAATTCACACTGTACAAACAGTATGCATTAGGTTAACAAACACCTGTCCTATAAGGTCATGTAGGCTCTTTTTTAATGTTTTGCTCTCTATAACCAAATCTGTCCTCCTGCTTTTAAATTATCTCTGTAATGTAATTACATTGCATCATACATCCATGCATCTGCCATTACATTAATGTCTGATTAAAGTTAATCGTATTACTGTAGTGACACGCCATGCCAACAAGCATCTGGCATATACATTATAATTGTCATTATCATGTTCATCTTTGTCCTTCTCCATCGCTTTCTCCTTCCTCGTTCTCTTTCCCTTTCTATGTACACTCATAGTATACTACACAGGTAAGTGTAATATATATTATTTTATAGATATATTCTGGCTTGATAATGGCATTTCAGCCTGTCCTAGACATTGTACAATTCTACATTATACTATAGGTACTCTACCAGCCATTATCAGCTCAGGAGCTGTGTCATTAAAAGCTGAAACAAAGGGACACTGCCTTCGCTGGATCGACTCATCTCCGCCAAGTAATTACTGGCATAAAGCATCACTGTGAGACCACACAGTGTTACTGCCCCTCAAGCAGCCTATGAAAACACAAAGGCACAGACAAGTGTCCACAACACAAGTGACACACACATCAATATGCACACACATCTCCACAAGAAAATGCAAACAAACAGAGATCTGAGCTGTGAAAGCAGTTTGGTTCACATGCATCAACAACAACACAACTGTACAATTAAGATTAATAAAAGTATACAGCACAAACTCACATTTACAACCTGTACAGGGAAACATTTATGATGTACTCCACTTGCATGCGTGTTTGAACGGTCAGCTTCTCTAAATTGATGTGTTCAGTTTGATGAGGGTGCGTACTGCAGTGAATGCGAGTGTGTGTATCTTTGTCTGTTGAGAGTTTCCTCACTGTCCAATGAGGAGCAGGTGGTACTCTTACTGGACCAACAGTAGATGGTTATTGGCTAATAAACATACAAACACAGGAAGAAAAATACATCTTTTGATTAAATATAACCATTTTCTTTACTGACTGATCTCCTGGTGTGTTGATTCAGCTGGTGATATACTTATATTCCATAACGATGTTCAAACCAGATTGTACTTGTGCGATTATAGTGGTTGCATTACACTTTTTATGGCCATCATTTTGAGGGAGGGCATTGCAAACAGTTTAATTAAGATATGTCTGAATGGTTTGCATTATGGTCTAAATGTGGAACCCTTATTTTTCAGTGCAAAATTCTCTTGACAGAGGAATTATTGTATCCAAGGGAGCTTAAACTCTATGTTAAGAACAGCAGCTTATTTATTTTCTTACATCAAACACCACTAAAGCCACAGTATCTCATTATGATGTTGCGTTATCTGTAAGCCTGCAGCTAATGATTATTATCAATCAATCTCCCAATTATTTTCTTAATAAATTGATTCAACATTTAATAACAGTGTATCCTTATTATCGTTTGGAGTTTATTCTTGAAAATGTGTGAAACAATTCATTTACAATCAAAATATTTGCTGTAATAATCGTACGTTGATTAACACCATCTTAAACAAATAGGTTCACACCAAGTCTTGCTCCTCTCAGAAGCATTTTTAACGTGCTACGTTGTGGGATATGCCTTAAAACAGGGAATAAATGTGTTAATCGGAGGGAAAGATAAAGAGCTGGACAGTTAGTGGTTACATTTAGTAATTGATCCACTTAAATGGTCTATGACAGAAGATAAAACCACCGGGCATTCACTGTAATGCTTTAAAGAGCTGACAGTAAACACATACCAACCACCACGGGCACAGACACACACACATAACGCTAGCTACACACATACACTTTATAAGTAGTTTAGCAGAAAATACTCCCAAGTCGGCTTACCATCACATTTCCTCTTTAAAACTCAAGTTTCTGCACTTGCTCCTCCTACTTCTATAAACTCTGTTTTGAGATGTGCACGATAAATTGCAAACCCAGGCAAAAGGACGCAAATGCACCCTCTCCCTCTCTCTCTCTCTCTCTCTCTCTCTCCCTCCCTCACACACATACACACACACTACAAAGCTGCACTCTAAAAATTAAAGCTGCTCAAATGGGTTTGAGGCAGAACCATGAGAGCAGAGGCTGGGTTTGAGGCTGTGTATGCAGATATGATTAGCTGAATTCATTCGCCCAAGTCTGCAGAAATGAGTCTGGAACACCCAGTGAGTAGTTTACATGTTTTAGAGTTTTTTTGTAGGAATATAACAATGATATAATACAATTTATAATTTAGGGTTTATGTTTCAAACTCTAAAAATGTGTTCTCAAACAGTAATTTTCAGCTTTAAAACTGAGGATTAATTTCTTTACATATGACAATATACTGTATGTAAGATGCATCCCACACACAATTTAGTGTTTAGAAATTACTATCATACATCTGTAGACACAATCATGATGCCCTCACTGAGCAGAATATATGTTTTTCTGAGACTGATGATTTAAACATCAAACTCCTGAATCTAAATGGGAGGAGTAGAAGGTACTGTAACTGAATGATTACATAATTACAAAAAATAATAATGGTAATAGGCATTCAATTTCAATCAAATCACTTTTATTTTTCAATAATTAATATAGAGAACAGGCCTAAAGAAATTGCATAATTTTCCGTTAGGGTATTTTGAATATAAGCAACTTGTCAACTTCTCCTAAAAGCAATGACGATACTAGTAGCAATACACAACCAAACTAAAGAAACTAAAATATGTTGGACGAGCTATGACCAGAGGAAAGTTCTGTACAAAAACTAGTGAACCCCGACCCTAATTCACAATATAGCTCTCATCCAGAACATAAGGTCAACTTACTTGGAGAAAACCATGGAAACAATTTTTGGCACCTTGCATTTCCAATATCTTTTTCGCACACACTGACAAAGCATGCCAGACCCAAAGTTCACCAAAGCATTGAACACAGAGCAATAGCCACACGAGTTGAGTTTAACATTACAACGTTTCTTTCGGATATGTGCAAAATTATAAAAATGCCTTGCAGTACTCTGCACCAATTGAAATCTAGATACGATTCTCTAGTAGTAGTAGTAGTAGTAGTAGTAGTAGTAGTAGTAGTAGTAGTAGTAGTAGTAGTAGTAGTAGTAGTAGAACCTTTATTTAGCCAGGAAAATCAATTAAGAACAAATTCTTATTTTCAATGATGACCTGACAGGAGGCAAAAAGCGTCCTGAGGGGATGGGGGTTGGGAGGAAGAAAATAAAAAGACAGACTCCGGGCACTACAGAACCCAGGAGACAACACAATGACACAGAGCAGAGATGACAGGCATAGCAGTTAAACATATAACATCTCTAAAACAATACTGCTGTGGTTCAATCAGTCATTAAAATAATATAGAACATTCATCCATTCAATCATTCATTCATTCAAATTACAAAATTACAAAGAGCGAGGCCTACTTCTCAGGAAAGTGAACACATGACTTTTGTGATTCATGTATGGCTTTAAAACAACTCCTCATGATCTCCTCATAAGCTCTCAGTCATTCTAATTAGTTTTCTACCCCCTGCATGCATACACATCTCTTGATGTGATGACTTTCATGAGAAACCTTTCTAATTAGTCTATTAGCAAGATGTCGTGTCTCACTTTTCTATGTGTTGTTTTGCCTAGATTGTAGCATAATTAAACTAGAGCGACCCATAAATCCACAGAAAGTGATCGCTTGTTGGGAAGGATTTTCGTTTGTTCAATTATTTAAAAAAAGTCTTGTTTATATAATCGTCTTTATTTGCATGTTTGTTTGTTTGTCAGTTTTGGTGTGGGACTGTGAAAACCTGATAGTGTGTCTGCAGTAGACCGAGACGTATGCTGACAAAATGATTATAGAGAGAAGTGGACAAATACACTTTTAAAAGAGAAAACACTGTTAAGCTTAGTGAAGCGAAACAGACTGCAGAACACGATTCCTAATGCCTTTTCTCGCTGTCTCTCCTCTGTTCTGTTACAGAGAGCCTTTTTATTCTCTGAACCCTTTCTCTCACTGGGGTCCGATCACAGAAGCTCTGGCTTGTCAAGGATACATTTGAACATGATTTTTTTTATTAGCTTACAAGAACAGGGAATGAACCCATCCATTGTAATACTATTGATGTGGTCAGATTATACTGGAGATGTGGATATATTTACACATACCTGTAGGTCTGGATCCTCCTCATGCTGTAGGTGGGCTTCCTCTGCTGCCTCTACCAGTCTCTACAGGAGGGGGGGGGGAGAAAAAACAGGGTGTGAAAAAGAGAAACAGTTACATAAAATTAGCTTTACCACTGGCTGTATAAGTATCCCTTAGCACTAGAACAACTCTGCAAGCCCTAAGGACACACAACCACACACACATAAATATATATACAGATAACGGACAGACATTTGGCCATCTCGTGGAATGAGGCTATTTCCTTAAATGGTTTAGCATTAGAGGAAATGACTGCCTGGGGTCCTTAGACAGTACTACAACAAACTCCATCACCACTTCATGCTGTTTTACACATGCACACACACTCTCTTAAATAAATGGATCTGGTATCCTGACAATGGGCCGATTTATTCAATTAAATTCTGTTTGTATTCAACATATATTATCTACTAGAGTTCTAGAAAGGCAACTAACAGTTTGCTTGTTTATAAAACAGCGAGAAGCAGGTTTCTCTGTTTTTCTGTCATCAGCACAGGTGAGCAAAATTAAAGGCACCATTCAATGTAGCGCTTCTAATTGATTTCAGCACTAGTGAATATGGGTATGCACGTTCAACACAAGAACAAGCTATACACAACAGATACATATACACGTGGGTGCATACACTGAAGTGTACACATACACATTTCTGCCTCAGCTATATCTCAATATATACCTATATATACATTTATGCATTCAAATATGCTAGGATGTTTGTTCAGGGACAAAGCTACTGCTAAAGCAAAATCTTCTTCTTCTTATGTATTTTAAAGTCATGTATCTAAGACCAGAAAGCAATACTGTGAGGAGTGGACTGAGGGGGTGATGAGAGTCATTTGCTATTAGGGTGCAGGGCGCGGCATGGCTCTGTCATGTTTGAGAGATTGGAGGTAGGGAGGCAGATGATCTTTGAGGCATGATGTGTGCTGGAGATGGATGACATGGTAAAGAAGCACAAGAGCATGGGTTCAATCATGTGAAGAAAAAAAATGTGTTTGTAAAGCAACACCAGAAGGTCAGGGGCAACAGAGAGAGTTTGCTGGGGTCGTTTATGGTGTATTGAATCAAAATCGGAGTTAATTGTCTATAATGAGTCATTGAAATTGAGTGTTTTTGAGCTGGTCAACTGTCTTGACAAGGAAAGAAGTATGATTTGATCTACCGTTGGATGTGTTTAATGTGCTTCAAACTATTTATTTAGCTTGTCATTTTTCAGTTCGAGGTAGTTTTCTGTTCAACAAGAGGCTTAAAAAGCTGTAACAGAGGTATTGACACTGAGGATGCAACATAAGAGTATGTAAAGAACTTATGGTTGAGGTGAAGAAACAATACCGTTTTTTGTAAAGAAGGTGTAAAGGAAGGGACTGAGGACAACAGCATCGAGGAGCTCTGGTGTTGGTTTTGCTACTTGACGATGTAACCGGTTTAACTCTGAGGAAATCGTACTGAATAAAGAAAAATCTAAAATAATAATGCTTGGCATATATCAGCAATTCAAACAGGCTAAAGGGAAAAGCCTGGTGGAAGGTTATTGGGTAACAGCTTCTCACATACACATACAGGCACTTCGTTCTATTTCCTTCTGTGATTTGCATGGTATGTTCTCAAAGCAAGTAATTTCCCTCATTCACAGCTGGCCCTGGTGTCTATGAGTTCTGGTAATTCACTTCCATTTCGCATTTCCATTCAAATGGCTTTACCCGTAAAAGTACTGCAATCAGCCCGGCTTATTTCAGCTGAGCCTTGTGTGTGCATGCATGGGTCTGTGTGCGTGTGCGTGTGTGCGCGCGTGTGTATGTGTGTGCGTGTGTGTGTGTGTGTGTGCAGGCAGGCAGGCAGGCAGACAGGCTGTTTTGGGAAGTGAACGCCGTAATCTAGATCCTGGCCAATCATTTTCTTCACCATAGCAACACACCTGGCCATTGCATATCATTGCATATCATTCTATGCTTGGCTCAATTCGGCTATCAATTCATGGATACATTCTGATTGCTTCCTGGTCTGATAAGAGAACAGCAGAAGACACAGTTAAGGCCTCTGTGTCCTCGCTGGCCTGGACTTCTTAGATCTTTTTTTAAATCAAAAAGAAATGTCTTACGCCTGTGTGAAAGCACATGTACATCAGGCATTGAAAGGCACCACAAATACCTGAGGAAGGTGCATCTGCTTGAAATCCACAACAAAGCATGCGCTCAGAACAAACACAGATAAGGATGGTGGAATAAAGGGAAGATGAGAGAGGAATGAGAGAATAACATTCTCTAAAGGTCTGCACACTTAGCCCCACACTCTCAGCGAAATGTCAGGCGCTGCCTGTGAAGCTAGTGTCGATTAAAACACACTTTTCAGCATTTGTGAGTGGTTGATGGTGTGTGTGTTTGCAATTTAAAATGTTTTTCTCAGCTGACACCTGTTAAGATATTAGCCCTTTGACCAATTTTGTCTTACAGGCGTATTTGAAAATGTCAATCATTGAATGTGAGAGTAGGTATATCAACGTGTGAATGATGAAATCGAAATGAATTTGATGCGTGTCTGTGCATCCATATGCAGATGTGCAATGGCCTGAAAAATGCGCCTCATTATGGAATGTTTAATTTAGCTCTCCTGTGATTGAGTCTATTACTCTACCATATGTGTACATAGGAGAAACACCTAGTGTTAACAATCACACAACATTACCTCTACATCACACGTCCCATGTTAATGTAATCTCTAGTGAACATTTAAGCACTTGATTCCCACCTTTGAAGGATCTATTCTGGCACATTATCCGAGCAGTATAACTAACCATGCAGGAAGACAGGAGTGAAAGCTCTAGGGTAAAAATAACTTGCATAGTAGCAGGGAGTTTTTCAATTGGAAAAACAGATTAGAGATAAGTATGTACTACTCACTCCTGTGAATTTCAATTCCAGCCTATCACTAGGATGAACACCCCAGGTGGTGCGTTTGTCTTTGTGTGTATGTTATGTTGTTGTGGGCGTACGCTGATGTGTGTGCTGTCTATCTGCATGTGTTTTTGTGTGTCTAGCATATATTTAAATTAGCCTGCCATGTCTTTTTTGTCAATAGGTGGTCCTGCCAAAGTGTATGATGCAGTAAAAAGAGGGAGGAAATTACTTTTTCTTTTCTCAAGTCATTCTGTCAAGGCTGGGGCTTGGTATGAGATGACAGCAATAATTAAACTGGCACAGTCGGAGAGGCAGGCCCTGTTGTCTCCCTGAAAACACACGCTCTTACACAAACATGCACATTCACAAGCCTTCACTTCAGCTGACAGGGTAAAAGCCTCACACAGAGCTAACAAGACTTGCTGGGGCAACTGGATTAGATTTGTTAGCGATAGTAGAAAGGTCTGGCATCTCTCTACCTGATTACAGATCCCTGATGGTTTCCTCAGCTCAAACCTGATTAGACCAGATCGGACTGGTCTACTTTACTTTGGATCAGACTCAATTTGTTATTTTATTTACTCTGGCTCTTTTCATTTGTTGATTTTGTCTTAACCACAGCATAAAAATGTGTTTTTGGAGTTCACAAGTTCTCATCTAGTCCAAGGGATGTCTTGCCCCTGGATTAAACCTATTTTCCGTTCCTATTTTTTAAATATTTCCTCCTGTCTCCTTTTGCCCGCCCATTCAATTTCTCTGACATTTGGACTCAGTACCTAACCCTTTCATTATCTGACATCCTAAGATGATGATTTTCCTGACAAAGGTTTCAGCTTGTTTACACTTTCAAAAGTTCATAAACGATCCCCTTCATTTAGCTGTCAACACGATTGGCCTATTGTTTTTGTGCCGTACTTGCTGTTTGGTATCCTGACGTATGAAGCCATTGACCTTAACAAATTCCTATCCATTATGAATGCAACACTAGAGCCGTGAAAGTTGGCGAAAGCTGTCATAGAGAGCTGAGGTATGCTAACAACCGCTGGCAGAGAAGCAGAGGAGGGGTGGACGGTGGGTCACATACATTATTGACTGGTAGAGGAAGTCTTAGACTTTTTTAAAGCAGTGCATTAAGCCTTGCCTCGGCAAATTCCCTCCGCCAAGAGGAAGGGAGGGCAGTGGCCTGAATCTGAATGTTCTCCTGAGGTAGCAGAGAACAAGACCACAGTCAACTCCAGTTCTAAATAAACTCGCATAAAAACATTCCCAGAGGTGCTGTGTGCTGTTGGTTCAGCATGCATCTGTACTTCAAACTTAACTCCTTATTTTATTATACAACTATCTTTAGGGAAACATTTACCAGTACATTTAAGTAACAGAGTTGATATGTCATGCACAATTCGCAGCGACCCAAATAAATCAGCTTTGCCTGCATGTATAAACTTTTCAACTTTTAAATGTTTGAACCTTTAACTACAGTATGGCTAGAATATATGCACAACCTTATATCAAATATGCTACCCTTTTTCTCTTGAATAATTTGGCATGCTTCCGCTTGGCCAGATGTATAGGTGTTCCTCTGTTGCAAGAGGAAATGCTAACTAAGCCTTGGCCTACTGAATCAGGGCATGTCCTGTGGGTCTTGGTTCTGCCAGGGGCCTGATCCGTGGAGGCCTGAGCTGTGTTGAGCAGGATTGGATCAGGTCAGCCCATCAATAACACTGGGGACAGCAATTAATATTGTCAAACCAGCCAGAGAAGAGTTGCAGCATCAACAAAATGGAAAAGTGCTCTGTGACACTTTACCTCCTCTGTTTTGCACATTTAGATTGGGTACAAGCCAAGTAGTCAAAGCATCGGATACAAAGGGAAGACTGAGAGAGGGGGGGGGTAGTGTGCTTTGAAATACCAAGTCCCAATAATCAATACTTGACAGGTTCTCAGCAGTTCTGCTGACCCAAAGGGAATATAAAGGGAATATGAAGTGCTTAACCCACACTTTTATTTCATGCCTCGACTGAACTTTTGATCTCTTTTTTTTATATTTACCTTTCCTCATCTTGCTTTCATCATCCCCCATTTCATCACTGTAGAAAACAATCTCATCTCTCTTACTTCTTGGTGACAGGAATACAACCAGCGACAAGGCAGAGGCAGCCAGTACATGTCACGACTCTGCCTCTTCATTAGTAGCCATCAGTCTTAACAGACCCACACACACACACACACACACACACACACACACACACACACACACACACACACACACACACACACACACACACACACACACACACACACACACACACACACACACACACACACACACACACACACACACCAATGATATGAGACTGAGGACAGCTAGGGAAATTAGGGAAATGAGGGGAGCCGTCCTGTCAGCTCAGTGTGACAGTGTGGTATGTCACGGAGGAGGACAAGACTGCAGAGCCAGACCACACCGTTATAATCCTGATCAGAACTACCGACAAACGTGGACAATTCCTTGATAAGCAAGTTCAGCTCTTATATATTGTATAAATGACAAAGGAATCAAAACATGTATTTGGAGTAACATCAAGGTTGTTCTGTTTTGACATGTTTTGTTAATGTGAGAACAACAGGAATTCAACAAAATAGTCATAATATCACAAAGAAAAATAACTTGGTCAATAACCTTTGTCACGTACTTGGAAAGAAAACTGCAATGTTACCATTACCAGAAAAGTAGAAAAAGCTTAAATAAGACCCAAGTCTTAACTATTCAGCATTGCTGAAATGCTGAATTTATGTTTAAAATTCCTTGTATATGTCAGCAAATGAAAATTACATTTCATAAAAGGTTTTGCCGGCAGAGAAATTACATTTAAAGTCCTTTGTGTGCCTTTTATTTCTAACATACACCCATGCAGACTTCCCCTGCACTACACTGGTAATCATGTTGAGGCCTACAGAGGCGTAGCTGCCACAGGTAAATGATATCAGCAGGTACAAAGCATGCAGAGGCCGAATGCCATTACAGGAGAAACAGCCCTAGCAGCAAGGCATCCACTCTGCTTTGAAGTGCATTTGTCACATGAAACACAGGCGTGCTTGACTTCAAAGAGGACATTACAATAGCTTCATGCCTTTCAACTTCGATAACAACATGTTCACTATTTCTTTTAAACGTCTGCCGTTTCCACAATTTCCAGCCTGAAGACAAGCTTTTTGGAGGAGAGATTGAAAGAGGAGAGGAGAGGAGCTGATGTCTTCCAGAAAATGATAAAATACCAACATCTCAGGAACTGATAAAGGTTATAGTAATTAAAAGAGTAACAATGGCGAGCTGAGATGTTTGCTGAGCCCAGGAATAAACACTTTAATACACAAACATGTCTATTAAAGCTACTAACAAGAACACACACACAATGCCCGTTGAATGTACATGTTTACTTTAAAACATTGTTTCATTGGCCAATCAATTCTTCATATAAAATGTTTTTCGGCCATATCCTTTTTCTCTCTTCAGATGAGAAGCTAAACACACAGGAATTAAAGCACAAAACGTCTCTCACCTAAACACCTTTTTTAAACACATCAACTACTATTCACACATACATAAACAGGTGCACCTTTTTACAGCAAAGGCTGCTGTCTCTCAGCAGGTGGTGTCACGCGATAAAAAGGGGGAATCGACGTGGAGACGGGGAGATAAAACCACGTTGACGGACAGGGGAGAGCGCCTGAACGGAAATTGAATCGCTGAAGCGCCACATATACTTTGGCAAAAGGAGAGAGATGAGAAGAGGCAGAGCAGAGAAGGGAGACAGACAAAGGAGCAAAGGGTGCTTAAGGAGAGCAGCGAGACCGCACACTAAGACAGATGGATGAGAGTTTGGGAAATAAAAGCAGAGATAAATTGAAGAATGATGAAGAGAAAGATGGAAAATGGACACTTTCATTGTATGTTCTCGAGTGACAATTCATCACAAGGTCAACTGTCAGCGTTGAGGAAGAGAAAGTTGGAGGAAGTGGACTCATGAAAGCAGAGGACCAGGGGTTAAATTCTCCACAGATCTCGGCTTGGAGCCTCTTTTTGACTTTTCACACACAATGTACAACATTATTTTGTATTACAGCTGATTTTTATTCCATATTTTATTCCTCTATTTCAATCCATTGCAATGTAAATACTGTTATATTTTACTAAATATTTTTAATTATTTTAAATATTTTTCTAGTTCTCTACCTGTGTTTTTAATTTTTGTTTGTATGCACCATGACACCAAGTCAAATTCCTCGTACGTGTAAACCTACCTGGTAATAAACCTGTTTCTGATTCTGATTCTAATTCCTCCCACAGCTTTCATTTGTCTTTACTAAAGCCTAATTCCATCAACTCTGTGACCAGTGTACCATCTTATCTTCGCATTAACCTCCATAACCTTTACTTCACATACACAATTGTACACACTACCCCTCAGATATGTACAATGATCAGGCTTCTTGGGGAAGTAGCTTTATAGAAGCAATTAGCCAACTGAGTCCTCATATCTCCGGGGATTGATCACAGTCATGACGAGATGGCACACACAAAAAACTGTTGTGCGATTGAATATATCTAATCTCTATATAATAGTATTAGAATAGGATAAATATTCTTGAAATGCCAGGCTTCTATATGTGCTCAGTGACGACTTTTGTACATGTGGACGGGAGAAAGTGAACGCTTTTAAGGGGAATGTTACTATGAGACTGCAACAACTATGGTCCTGTAATCTCAGTGGTCAGAGGCACGATACACAAGAGATAATAACACTAGCATAAATAAAATTAAAGCAAGGAAATGGTTTGTCACTTTCTATGCCCCTCTCTCTCTCCTCCCTCAGATTGTATCCTTAGACCAGACTCTCAGAGAGAAATCCAATTTCTGTTAACATCACCATGCTGTCCTGATAAGATCTATCACCTGGAGCTGAGGCCAGAAAGGCAGAGCACCGTGGACACATCCCTACCTGCACCTGGCCCACACACACACACACACACACACACACACTCACACACACACACACACACACACACACACACACACACACACACACACACACACACACACACACACACACACACACACACACACACACACACACACACACACACACACACACACACACACACACGTCCAAACTAAAGTGTGTTCAAGCACACTGACAACCTTGGTAGATAAAACATTCTGATCTTTTAAGATAACACGCTATAAAAATACACAAAAATGAATGAAAGTATGGCTTCCCTAATCTGAAGTTAAAGTGCAAATAAGTATTAAGAGTATAAATCACGGTTTAGGTACTCATTATGTAGAGTGGTTTCTTTCATGGTGATTTGTTTCACATAATTATTGGATTTAAATATGTGATGGATGCATTATGTGTTGGCAGTTAAATTACAATTCAATTATACTTACATTTGATATAAATGCATATTTGAGAAGCAGATCAAATGTCTGCTTGTAAAATATTAATCTTTAAGGTAATTGTTGACTGTAACTGTCAAATAAATAAAGTGGATTCAAAAGTAAACAATAAAAACATTATTTTACAGAAGTTTTTAGTTTTAGTTTAGAGCATGGTCTTAAAGTGGCCTCTTGGATACTGATGTTTGGTCAGAGCAGATCAATACGGTGACACAGACACTGATTGGTGGCTCACAGCCTCTCTCTGTCTGTCACCTCCTCCACAGCACCCGTTCTCTCACATATCTCTCTCTCACATACACACAGCAAACGCAAGAGGTGTCTGGTTTCACTGTGGCAATGTGACACTACAGCACTTCTTCAGACGAGGGTCAGCAGAGTGAAATAAATGCTTTGCCAAGTAATTTCACCGAGTTCAGTCGAGTTACTTTTGCACTCTCAGCCTCTCTGGGAATAGATATACGTATACAACCTAACATCTCTATACTTACTTTGAGTTGTATTTATGTGGTTATTTCAATTGTTGTGTACTGAAGTAGATGTCAAATGGAGATGGTTCTGAATAAAATTAAGTAAATATTTTCAAGGACATATTGACCTTTCTCTGTGCTTTTATGGGAAAGGATTTGAATTAGAAATATTTTGCTAAATTCTAAGGAATTGTAAGCAGAAGTCTGATGATGGATGACTATTCAGGTAGATAAATACCTTCATTGCCTCGGCTTTCTTGTGAAACATCTCCTCCATGTCGTCTGCCAGCCTCTTCACCAGCCGCAGCCCATCAATCTCGTCCACCCGCACGGCCCGCTCAAACTCCTTGTATTTCTGAAAGGCAAACACACATTCATGTTATCAGGTTATAAGTACCAATGCATTAACACACTTAACAATTTGTTTTTCATTCCAATACACAAAGGTGAGTTTATAGCATGGACATCCCAGTGTGAGCTCATAAAAACAATCAGTATATTATCTCCTGTTTGTGTGTTTTTTTTTTATCTCAATCCTACATTTATTGAATTAATCTCATTACTCTTAAACATGTTTACCATCAGTTTAACATGAAACACAAGCAATATTTTTGGTTGGTTTATTTTATAAAAGGGTGAAGCTGGGGGTCTAATAAGGCTCTTCACAGCATGACTGTATGATAATGATTGCTAAAACTTTACGACAAAAAGAGTTTGACAGGGAAAAACCTGGGAGAAACGTTAAAACAGTGCATAAAAGGAGTAGTGTATACAGAGTGAAACCAAGAAATGCATTACTAGCTATAAAGTAGAATATAGCTGAGAAGGAGTTGCTTCCCCAAACTAATCTACATATAAACGAAACCAATCAGCTCAGCCAAGAGAATTATCAGCCACCTTCAGGTTTTACCAACCACACATTAAGCATCGATGACACGCCGCTGCCCTCAGTATGTGCCCTACACTAAATCACATTATTCTGCAATGAACGAATACTAGAGTGCTTAGCTCAACCAGTGCATTACTGGGGACAGTGACATTAAGTCTCGCTAATTCCACACCCATACATGCCACACACACACACACACATATGCAGAGCTGTTCTCAGTGAGGTGGTTTACTTGTACAGAAAAAAAAAAGAATAAAACCATTTTTGAAATCTCTGCAAAGCTGCGGGCGGCTGTGTTTCACTCTTGGGGGATTTAACGGGAGATTACCGCCATATCAAATAGCATGCCCCCTCTAATGTTATGCCAACCTGCTAAGACGCATGCTCTGAGCTGTTCCTGTACAGCAACACATATGAGGTGCATGGCGAGGGGAGAGGGATCACGAGAGGATGAGGAATGGGGACAGCATCATGACTCTCAGGCAAAAGCTTTCGGATTGAGGTAATCATCTAAAAAAAACTGCAGGACATCACCATGCAGGAAAGGGGATATTTGTCTGCCTCATACCAAAAGTTGAGATGAGGGTGATTTCTTTACTTGTAGTTTAAGGTGAGAAGTGAGAGCAGAGAAGCTGAGAAAAATGTAAAGTGACTTAAGTCTGAGACAAGTCAGTCTCTTGGGCAAAAAGGACACTGAAAAGGACAATTAATGTGTTATCTTGTTAGAACTATGGATACATTTATTGATTGGGACAGACCAAGCCAGACAGACAAACACATGAAAAAGATAACAGAAGGATAAGGAAAACAAAAAGAGAGACAGGAGTGAGACAGAGAAAAACAATAGGTAGAGCAAACACTGTGTGGGTGTAAAAAGATTCAAGAGATGCAAAGATTGGTAGGATGAGGAAGGGTGATATTGAAATGGGAGGGCAGTGTGAAATGCTATCTGTATTTGAAGAGCTGTATGTGGGCACAAGTAGAGGGAATAAGGATAAAATCACTACATTTGCATTTGGTTTAATATAGAATAAAAATAAGAGCTCAGGTGAAAGGGATTTTTTGATAGCAATTATAGCGATTAGAGAAAGGAGGGTCGGATTCTTCAAGGTATCTTTTGTCCAACTTACAGTATAATGGAGTTTGGGAGGGAGGAGAGGTTTAACGAAAGGTAGAGCAAAGAGGTACAGGAACGGCAAAGAGCTACTGTAAGATGACATGGTTGAATAAAATCAGGTTCATCAAGGGAAACACTCACTGTTTCATCTTTATCTCCATTTCATAGTATCAACACTCTTTCACAACCATAACACTGAACAATCTGCGTGCCTATGAAATGCTGCCAATTTCATTTGCATGTCACAGTTTAGAGTGTCATAATTGTCTTCAAAAGGTCTGGTGTAGCCATCCAAAAATGCTTCTGCTTCACATATGGTGAAGGATTGGATCAGAAACAAGAGATAAGGAGATAAAGAAGATAAGAAATCCCACAAAGCAATGGAAAGATCCACCTAAAAGCATGTTGATTTAATACCCTCTTAGATACAGGTTTTTCTTAAGAGCTGTTTTACGTAACAACAACCCCAACCTCAATGTTGACATATCATCTAAAAACATTTAGTTACATCTTCTATGGCTAATCAAAGTGACTGGCTGATGACTCAGAAGCTAAATCACAGCGACCGTAACCGTATCAAAATCAGAGCGATAATCCCAATGGCTGACTGGCAACTGCAATGTGTAAGAGGAACAGAAAATCCAGGTTTAAAGCCAATCCTCGTCCCTGGCTAGGAGTAGTAGTGGGCTGTTAGAGCTGACAGGTCAGCGGCGGCTCAAACTTGAACTGGCTTGACTGGTTTATTCTCCAATTTTATTTGTATCCATTCTCCCTGGAGCTTCTTCTGCTCTGTAGTTGGTGCTTTCCCTGCTTTACTCTCTCATCCATCTTCTTCTCTGTCCACACTTCCTTTGCTAATTATCTAAATGAATGGGGTGACTTCATAGACAGTCATAGCTAATAATTCTCTCTATGAGTCCCCAAATAATTTCTTGAAATCTCTTTTGTCTACAGCTCCACTAAATCCTTGTCCATGAAACTGTCCCAAACTTGACATTACACTTCACCAAGGTACAGGGAAAGCACAGAGTGCCTAAGGCCTGAGTGGAAGTGATAATGTGTTTGCACTCATGTTGGTCTGGTCAGTGAGAGGGTTAGAGGGTCCAGCTGACCACAGGCTGTCTGCAGCGCTATGTTCAGCCAGGCAGACCAGAGAAGAACTGGCCTAATTAGCCTGAAGCTATCCTCTTCACATCACATCAACATCACAGTATAGCCAACTGACATACATCCAGAACCACCATTTCTCAGGAGACGGGACAGCTTTTTAAAACAGACTTCATTGGCATCTTAAAGTCTTATTATAATATAATATTGACTTATGTAATTGGTTTGATACACTTTCAAAATGTTTTTCATAATAAAGTTGGTCTTTGTTACCTGAGAAGCACCTCACAAGTCCTGGGACTTTCTGTTTCAGGGACGGTGACTTATATTGGGATGTACAGTAACACAGGAGCACCTGTTCATGTCCCCTAGTTTAGCTGCTCAGCTCCTGCTGAGCAGTCATATAGTCTCACAGGAATTGTATGTTTGGCCTCACTTGCTGGTGAGCACAAAAATATTCTCTTTTTCCCAAGGAATGTTCTATTGCTGGCTTGTACACCTGGATACTGGCCTGGTTTAGTCATACACATACTAATTTCAGCATGGACATTAGCGAGCCTATAATATAGTCTGGCATTCAGCTTTAGAAATGGACTTTCATGTGTGATCTTTACAAACATCTAAAACATGACATTGGAAAAAAAGTAACCAGAAACAATCGCCTGCAAAGCCAATGATGTTGTTGTTGGCTTTTTAATATAATCTTTCTCCACTGTGGCTTTTTAATATAATCTTTGTCCACTGTGTTAACCACATATGAAATTGTATTCAGTTCCACTCAATACTTTATATTTGAGTCCATGAGGCGTCAACATGCTTTGACAATGCCACATTTTAGATGGATGACTTTTTATTAGCTAGCAATGTCATAAACCACACTAAGTGACTAACTCAAGCTTAAAATGTGGTGCTCAGGGTGTTGCATACAGTACAGAGTCACACCTTGAAGCTGCCCTGTGCACTACTAAGCCAAAATAACAGTCTACCCATGAATCAAACGACAGCCCAGTCACAAATGTATTTCTCTAGAAAATATTTAGATCAGGCTGATAATGCTATGTATCCATTATAAAATGTATTTTCAACTATAGACTGAGACAACCAGTGGTGACACATATTGTTGGTCTGTTGTAACTCAATCCCTCTTTTTCTCTCCCCCCTTCACCCCTCTGCTGTGCCGCATCACATGAATGAGCTGATGCTGCTAATCTCTCTCCTACACAGTGTGCTCTGACTGTGGGACAACAATCAGAGGCTAAAATCCCCTTATCCAGGCTACACTTTAGCGCACAGAAACAGAGACAAGTGCAAGCCTGCATGTACACACGTGCATACAAAACTCAATAAATAATACAATATGTCTAGAATAGGTGCAACATATATATGCAGGAGTAGAGGGCAGGAGAGGAGAGCACTGTTTTTCTCTGTGTGTAAGTGTTTGTTATTTATTACCGTGGAGTGTAGACTTGACCATGACATAATAATGTATGTGTTTGTTTCTGTGTATGTCATTTCCTTGGGGTTTGATAATAAAGTGATTAATGAAGGGGAAAAACTTCATTTCACACCAAGACTGAACCACAAGCCCCCAAATCCCAGCTCATTTTACGCGTCACCAGAGCCCACTTTAACTTGGCCAACTCTCACTGCCTTCCTGAGACAGCACCCCCACCCCCCCCCCCTCTCACTCTGTCTCTCTCTCTCTCACTGCAAACACACACGAATGTAACCATGAACTGACATAAGACAATGTGTTTGCACTACCACTGATAAGTTTAAACACAGACATAAGAATCAGATTTTAGAATAATGAATTAATGAATGAGGAAATTGAACTTCCAAATGCAAATAAACAGTGTTGTTTATTTTGTTGTTGCTCAGATGTTTCCTGTCTCTCAGGCTTACAAAATGAAATTAGACATTCACAGCAGAAAGGGAGAGGCAGAAGCATTTGCCAAGCAGTCTCATTCAAGCTGTGTTATTGGTTTTCATTCACAAAATGCAGCCCTGTCTGTTTTGTTTGCTTCTGTCTGCTTGTCTGACTACGAGTGGATGAGTCTGGTTTGATGAATGAAAGAGACACAGCCCAGAAAAGCCTCTGAATGTGTGTGTGTGTGTGTGTTCATGCGTGTTTGTGTGTGTGTACGCGCACTGGAGGAAACAAGGACAGACTACACAGGGACACAGAGACCAAAGAGTCCACTTAACAGACCCTCTGATGTACTGAGGCCTCTGTAATAAG